AGCAAATGCTTCAACCAGCAAGCCGCATGTGTCTGGTCTCACCAAGCACGACGTGGTCCTCGATGAGCGTCTTGAGGTCTTGTCGCAGAGTGCCCTCGAAGGTGAGGCCCCTGGGTCTCGTGAGCCGCTGGCCGAGTGCCGGATGGGCGGTCTCGACCCACGGGAAGCTCTGGTGGTTCCACTGGTGAGTGCCCTTGACCTTGGCGAGGCAGGTCTCGATCGTCAGGCTGACACCGTCCTGGTCGTCCTTGGCGGGATCCATGGGACCCAGCCAATGCAGATCCATCTTCTCGGCAACCTCCTGCACGCACTGCTTGCCCATGCCGATGAGCGTCGGCCGGGGGCCGACCTCCACTATCACCCGTGCTCCCGCCTCGACCATCGCTCGCATGCCGTCCATGAAGCGAACCGGCAGCGTGATGTGGTTGGCCCAGTACTCGCCCCTCACGACCTCGTCGCCAGCCATATTGCCGCTGACGTTGGACACGAGGGGGATCTTGGCCGTCTTGAGGTTGACTGTCGACAGCACCTGCTGGAAGGGAGCCACAGTCTCACCCATGAGAGGGGAGTGGAAGGCGTGCGAAACAGTGAGGAGCTTGTAGCGGCCCCCCACGTTGAGGGCCTTCATCACGGCCTCGACCTCGCTCCGCTTGCCCGACACCACCACACTCTTGGGGCCGTTGACGGCAGCCACAGAGACCGTCTTGGTCTGACCCTCGCCCACACTTGCGATGCCCTTGAGCACCTCCTCCTCGCTCAGCCGACACGCGGCCATGACGCCATCATTCTGGGGTGCGTCGTTCATGATTCGTGCTCGTTCTGCGATGAGCCTGAGTCCGTCCTCGAGGCTCATGACGCCTGCGATGGTGGCGGCCACGTACTCGCCCAGGCTGTGGCCCATGACCACATCGGGCGTCACACCACGGCTCCGCAGCAGCTGAGCCAACGAGTACTCGACCGCAAAGATCAGCGGCTGGGAGAACCGAGTCTGGTCGATCATCTCCTGCATTTTGATCTTCTCCTTGTCGTTCTTGGGGTAGAGGATGCCCGTGAGCGGAACGGGCAGCAGCGGATCCAGGATGGTCGCGCACTCGTCGATGCACTCCCGGAACACCTTCTCGTTGTCGTAGAGCTTGCGGCCCATGTCGACGTACTGTGAGCCCTGCCCAGTGAACATGAACCCGATTTTGTTCTGCAACGCCACCGAGGCCTTGTCCTTGTTGAGCATCTCATCGATCTGCGCCGCACTGAGCGCCTTGGCCTCCACCAGGATGTGGGCATTGGCGCCACCGAATCCGAATGAGCTCACGTCGCCGACCATGCGGTCCTTGCCTGGCAGGCCGGACACCAGCGGCACTGGCTCGGTAGGGAAGACCACTGGGAAGGTGTCGTTCATCGATATGTCGGGGTTCAGCTGAGTGAAGTGGCGAGTCCATATGGCACGAATGTGTGTTGCAGTGTCGTTTGTGTGTGTACCGAGTGGGCTTTTATGACGAGGGCGGCCTTGCTTTCTTCCTCTTCTTCCTCCTTGGCCTTCTCCGCGAGCTGCCTCATGGCGGAGTCGAAGCTGCGCAGCACAATGATGGCAGGCAGGCGGCGTTGGGCTTGGTGACGCCGGACGGCTGCCTGCACGTGAATAGCCGCCCTCTGTTGCGCTTCTCGAAGTGTGCGGCGTCGGGCGTGAGACGGGACGCCTTGTGGCCATTGTGGGAGGTGCTGGGGCGTGGAGGGCGTGGCCTGTAGCCAGCACAGCAGAGCACCAGCACATGGGTGAGTGGTTTGGCCAGATCATGGATTCATCATGGTTACCGAAGGGGGGGAGCAACATATCCCGCAAAAGGATCCTCTGAAGGGCATGATGGCGTGATCCCGTCAGTCAGCGAAGCCAGTCAACGAGGTGACGTTGATCGAATCTTAGGGATGAGATGTCGCGAAACAATTGCGATATCGAGGCGTTTCGAATTCGCAGATGTCGTCTTCTGTCTCTGTTCCACCTCATCCGTCCATCTTTTCCTCTCTCTCGCCCAGCCTGTGCTCATATCCCTCTGTTTCTCGGTCCCTCCCTTCCGCAGGCCTCCATCCACTCGCGCTCGTCCCTCGCGATGCGGTTCCTTCTCTGCCTTGTCGGTGCCCTCCTGCTGGTCGGCAGTGTGCACGCAGAGGAACTCATCGACTACGGCAATTGGTGTGGCGTTCGCAACACACAGGACGATGAGAACTACCGCTGTATTGACGGCGTGGACTGCGCTTGTCGTCAGCACGACCTCTGCATAGAACGCCACCTCAAGGATGGGTACACATTAGAGCTACACAAATGCAGCTGGTACGTACGTAAGGCGAGAGGAAGCAAGCCGCGCACTTCTCATGTTTTCGCGTCGCGTGTTTGTTTCAGTGACAAGGACTTCCTCAAAGCCCTCCCTGGCGCATCGTGTTCGAAACCGAAGTGCCCCGTATACAAAGAGGCTGCCATTGAGCTGTTCCGCCGCAAGCCGTGTATAGAATACAAGCGCCCCTGTATCATGGGACACTGTACCGAGATTCCCGTTCCGGGTGTGGGCGGGACAGCAGCTACGGGGCCTTCGACAGAATCGGTAGTCGACGATGCTAAGGACGCTGTCGATGCCGCTAGGGACGCCGTCAAAGACGTCGCCGATGTCGCCAACGACGCCGCCAAGCGTGGTCGAGATGCCATCAGGAACGTCGCCCCTCGGGTGCCAAAAAAACCCTGGTAGATGGATGCCTGCAGGATCGCTTGGCCGGTGGGTACTGACCGTACACTGAGTACAGACAGAAACACTTGTTGTGTGCCTTTTTTTAATGGTGGTGTATATACGTGTTCTGTCGTAGCGCTTTGTTTTGACTGTCTGTCTTTTCCCATTCCAAATCGTGTGTGTATGTGTAGGTAGTACGTGAAGGTAGGTAGAAGACAGGTCGATAGGTAGGAAGGTACGTATGTGTACAATTTGGCCGTGCCAACTAGAGTACGGTAAGATAGATAGAAAGAAGTCATCGGGCCGACTGGCCGGCTGACTGACTGGCTGGCTGTGGTTTTCATCTGACTGACTGTCGATACGCGTACGTGAATGTGTGATGTGCCGTGTGGCCGAGTGGGCTGTGTGGGTGTCTTTAAGCACACCGAGTGCACATACAACACTGATGGGATAAATGGATGGATGAGATTACAGTCGAGTGGAGTTCATGCCGCACTTTTCGCCTTTTTCGCTATTCGTCGGACTGAGTTACTCATTTGTGGGCTTCACAGACAGAGGTGCCTCCGTTTTCATTTGTCTGTCTCACTCATCTTCATTCGCCTGCATGTGTGTGGTGAGTCGTGCGGCCCAGTGGGCTGTGTGTGACTTCTGTGTGTGAGTATATTTGCGTGAAGCACGCCCTGGACATACAGACGGGACGGATGAGACGCAATGAAGGACACACATTCACTACACATTAAGTCGATTGGATCATGTTGTGAGTCCCACCAACACCAAGTACATCCACCAAACGAGGTCCATCTGTCAGTCAGCTGGCTAGTGGTCGACCATCGTATCGGCCCCATGAGCCCCTCCCCCACTCACACCAGCTGCAGCTGCAGCACCACCGCCACCGCCAGCAGTGCCATTCAACAGACGATCAGACATGACTGCACACACAGACAGAAAGAGAGAGACACATGAATCGTGGTCCCTCTGTCTTTTCCTGTCCGCCCTGCCTCAAGGGATGAACTGTCCTTCCCTTCGTTGTGGCCTACGTGGCTGTTCGCGTCTTTGCTTTTGTGGCTGGCTAATGTATGTGTCCTTCATTCATCCGTTGTGTGAAGCGCTCCGAGTCCTGCTGACAGACCGCATGCAAAGACGGCGTATGTGCGTGCGTGAGGGTGACTGACAGTGATGGATGAGACGGCGAGTGGATGTTGACATCCACGGGATCGGTTTGTGAGTCGGTTGCCTGTCTCGCGCGAATGGTTTCAGCAATCTTTGCTGACATATAGTGAGGAACAAGTCTCATAACGTTCGTCCAGAGGATGTGCAGCGTCTACCTGTACACGTACTAGCCACACAATCCAAGCATCCAGTTAGTCACTTAGTCGGCCCCACTGCCGTACTCTACTGGCACAGCAGCGCCAAACCAGTCTACCTACCTACCGACCTAAGTGACTGACTGACTATCGACACACACACTGCATGCACACACATGGATGAACACACACATGGATGGATGGATGGATGGGTGGGAATGGGAAAAGACAGGGCCAAAAGAAATGGGCGACAACAAAACAAACGTCTACAGCCATCGTCATGTCAGCCAGCCAGCCAGCCAGCCAGGCAATCAGGCAATCAGGAAGCACAAAGATCCCGTGGTACCAAATGAGGATGGTTCTTCTCGCTACACCGCATTGTGCGTGGTGTGGCCCAAAACCAAGCCCCTCTCTGATCCCTTTCCAGACTGTGTGTCTGTCTGTAAGCCGTCACTCAGATGCAACACGAAAGAGAGATCGACCATGCACACACAGACGGCATCCATTCCATCATACCCTCACATCAATCACATTAGCCATTCTCGCGCACATCAATCACACAGCAGCTGCCTGGGGACAAATGGCATAGAAAATGACCAACAACTGCAAATCACGAGAAAAAGAAAGAGTTCAGGCAGCCAGCCATGCACGTTCGTGTGTATTGTACATCCACCAAGACACGCATTCAAGACCAATTGCCAGCAGCGGAGCCCCATTGTGCGTGTCTTGTTGTACCCATCATTCAGTGCACTCACGCTTCCACCTACCCCACCCCACCCCACCCCACACCCGACGCCAAGGTCTCACTCGCCTCCATCCATCCATACACACGGTTCACCCAGATTGCGTGGTCGGTTTGAGGGAGCGGTAGAGGAGAGAAACCGACTCCGGCGTGCAGCACCGCAGCCGCCACTTGGCGCCACATCGGGTGTTTATCACCTGCACACATCCACAAACAACCACACATCCACAAACAACCACGAAAACAAAAACGTTATAACGCTTTCGTCGTGGCTGCGTGCAGTGGTAGAGGTATGGCGTCCGTACGATTTCGAGTTTCGGGTTGTGTTCTCTCATTCGGCAGCCGACAATCTGGCTTCGCTTGAGGGTCTCGCGGACTCGCTTGCCGCTTTTCGGGGACGGAAATGACACCAAGCTTCTAGTTATCTGTAGAAAGACCCCCCACACACACAGACGAAAGCGTTGTACGCAAGAAGCCCGCCACACCATCTCTGAATCGCCAGTCAACGTGCGTGTGTGCGTGTATTGCTCGGCGCAGTGCGTACCTGTCTAACCAGGCGTCTGGCGTGCCCGCTGGCGGATTGCTCCTGGAACTCATCGCAGAAGAGCGCCTCTACCCCCGACACAACGACCGTCCTCCTCACCCACGTGCAGTGCCACTTGAGCAGCGTCACTTGCACACGGCACTCGCACAGCAGATGCTCCGACCCGGGGGGGCTGAATTCGTCCCCCTCGGGGAGCGTCACCAGGGGGGACGCGGGCGACTCGGCTGCTCTCGTCGATGCACTGGCGAAGCCGGAGGACGACGCGGGAGAGAGCTTCGTGTGGTCATCTGCCTGCTGGCTCGAGTGGCGCGCGAGGCGTATGCGGATCTCTTCGGGAGAGGGCTGATCGGTGCCGGGCTCCTCACGTTGCGACGGGCGGATGAGCATCGTCACCACATCGGCTGCAAGCAAAAGCAGGCGACCGTCGTTGCGGTCTGCGGCAACGAAAAATATGCGAAGACGCACGAGAAGCTCCCCTTCCCCGGTAGAAGAGGGAGAGAAGCCGCGAGAGCGCGAGCGATACATAAACGCGCTACAGCGAGGAATTCGACGCTGGGTCCGACACCATGCGCCTCGCTGACGTATATGCCGGTAGCGCCGTTGACAGCGTCGTCGAGATGAAGACGGAACCTCCAAGTGTCAGCTTAGGTTGTGTTTTACGCATCACTTTAGCCCAGAATCCATACTTGCAACGGGGAGCGAAGGGTGAGGAGCGGTATGAGAGAGAGACAGTGTCTTCGTATGCTCTTCTGTCTCTCTTGTCGCCTGCCCACCGCCTCCCCGGCCTGAGGTCATCTCAGATCTGATTCCATCAAGGATTCTCGCAAACCGTCTCTGTCCGTCCCTTCAATTTGCTTCATCTGATTCCATCAATTGGATATCTTGTCTTCTCTCTTTTCGTTTGCTCTCTCGACCGGCCTGTGCTCAAACCTTTCAAGCCTGTTCTCTCTCGCGTCACGAGCCTTTCAGCTGCATCTACCCTCGTGCTGCAGTCCACCATGACTCGACTCTCGGCTGCCGCGGTGTGCCTCATCTTCCTGGTGTCGGCTGCCCTGGCCGACGATGCTTCGCGCAACGCGCTCCGCTCCATGCGCGGCAAGAACGCTGCTGCCAATGATCAAGGTGCATAGGAATGAGACCAGATGCCTGCACATTACAGCCCATCACATCACTTGTCTGCCTGTCGTCTCTCTCTCCCTTTTTTTGTGCAGCTGCGGATGATCTTGTGTCCGGCCTCAGGTGGACACACAGCATCCCTGAGCTGGACAGCATGCCTGAGGAGCCACCCCAGCATCGCGCCCTGTGGCCCAAGATCAGTGCGCCCAAGATCCCCGCGCCCAAGATCAGCCCGCCCAAGATCAAAAGCCCCGATCTCGGCAATCTGGGTAAGACAGCAGGCAAGGCTGCTGGGGCGTACTACGGAGGCGCTGCTGGAGCCGCTCTTGGCGGGGCCGTTGGGTCGAAATTCGGCCCTGGGGGGACGGCGGCAGGGTCGGCTATTGGCACGGCTGTTGGCGCGACAGAGGGAGCAAAGCATGGGGGCAAAGCTGGAGAAAAGGCCGGAGACTGGGTGGAGGACCGGCTCGGCGGCTCTTTCGGGTTCAGACGTCTGAGTGACGACACGGCCGATGCAGAGGTAGGAGGGATGGGAGAGAGGCACTGGGCTTGCTTCAGCACTTGGTCGCATTGCACCCCATCTCATTATCTCATTGCTGTCTGTCTGTCTGTCTGTGAGTGCAGGACGCCGCGGATGATCTTGTGTCCGGCCTCGAGGACAAGCACGCTGAGCAGCATGAGGAGGAGCCACCCCAGCATCGCGCCCTGTGGCCCAAGATCAGTGCGCCCAAGATCCCCGCGCCCAAGATCAGCCCGCCCAAGATCAAAAGCCCCGATCTCGGCGATCTGGGTAAGACAGCAGGCAAGGCTGCTGGGGCGTACTACGGAGGCGCTGCTGGAGCCGCTCTTGGCGGGGCCGTTGGGTCGAAATTCGGCCCTGGGGGGACGGCGGCAGGGTCGGCTATTGGCACGGCTGTTGGCGCGACAGAGGGAGCAAAGCATGGGGGCAAAGCTGGAGAAAAGGCCGGAGACTGGGCGATGGACCGGCTTGGCGGCTCCTTCGGGTACAGACGTCTGAGTGACGACAAGGCCGATGCAGAGGTAGGAGGGATGGGAGAGAGGCACTGGGCTTGCTTCAGCAGTTGGTGGCATTGCACCCCATCTCATTGCTGTCTGTCTGTCTGTCTGTCTGTCTGTGAGTGCAGGACGCCGCGGATGATCTTGTGTCCGGCCTCGAGGACAAGCACGCTGAGCAGCATGAGGAGGAGCCACCCCAGCATCGCGCCCTGTGGCCCAAGATCAGCGCGCCCAAGATCAGCCCGCCCAAGATCAAAAGCCCCGATCTCGGCAATCTGGGTAAGACAGCAGGCAAGGCTGCTGGGGCGTACTACGGAGGCGCTGCTGGAGCCGCTCTTGGCGGGGCCGTTGGGTCGAAATTCGGCCCTGGGGGGACGGCGGCAGGGTCGGCTATTGGCACGGCTGTTGGCGCGACAGAGGGCGCAAAGCATGGGGGCCGATTGGGAGAAAACGCCGGAAACTGGGCGGAGGACCGGCTTGGCGGCTCCTTCGGGTACTAGACTGGTAGATGAGTGGTAGATGCTTGCATGGGGAGGGATGGGCACGCGGTTTCGGCTCATAGGAGATGAGGTAGACTACGGGGGTTCATGATTGTGGCTGCCCATGAATGCTCTGTCTGTCTTTCCCATTCCCGTGTATGTGTACACCCCATTCATGTATGTGCGTGTATGTACGTGTAGATAGGCAGGTAAGTAGGTAGATCGGTTCGGCGCTGCCGTGCCAGTAGCGTAGGGTTCACAGATAGAATGGGCAATGGGGTCGGCTGACTGGATGCTATTCATGATGACACGAGGCTGGGGCTTCGTGAATTTCATGATCACATGGATATATAAGTGTACACTAGGCAGATCAGCTGATAGGATAGATGTAACATTGTGTATATGCCTGTTGACGTCACCGTTTTCCTTTTCACTGTCTGTCTTGTCCCATCGTAACGTGTGTGTATGTGCTGCACGGGGCTGGGCTTCGTGAATTGCGTGATTACATGTATTTGCACACTACGCATTCCCGTTGCCCTCCATGTGTGTGTCCATGTGTCGACAGGTAGGTAGGTGTAGATAGCTGTGCCAGTAGAGTACGGTAAGACAGATACAAGGGGAATGGGCTCGACTGGCTGTCATCTTGATGATGCACGAGGCTGGGGCTTCGTGGATTGCATGATTACACGCATGTGTACCCATACATTCTCGTTCGGTCTGGTGAGCCTACGCGTAGTGCGCCCTCTGTGTTTCCTGTCGTATGGTTGGTCAGTTGTGGGTCTTCCACATATCCACAGGTGTGGCTGTCTGTCTGTCTCCTGTCTGGCTGTCTCCTGTCTGGCTGGCTGCCTGTAGTTTTCATGTGTCTGTCGTTAATCACTTTCATACGCGTGTATGTGTGGTGTGTCGTTTGGCCAAGTGGGCTGTGTGTGCCTTGTTTGTAAGTATGTTTGCATGAAGCACGCCTTGTTGATATGCGAATTATGACGGGATGCATGGATGGAGGGATGAGACGCAATCAAGGACACACATTCACTACACATTAAGTCGATTGAATCACAGTTTGAGTCCCCAGCACCAAGTACATCCATCAAACGAGGTCCACCTGTCAGTCAGCTGGCTAGTGGTCGACCATCGCATCCGCCCCATGAGCCCCTCCCCCACTCACAGCAGTAGCAGCAGCACCACCGCCACCACCACCAGAGCCATTCAACAGACGATCAGACATGACTGCACACACAGAGAGAGAGACACACATGAATCATGCGTGCGTGTGTCGTGCCCTTCTCCCTCTCTGGCTGACATGACGGCCTCGGTTCCTTCTTGTCGTCTCCTGGTATGAGTGTGGTGATGGGCACCCACTCGGGCGGCTCCTGGTCGCCACACCGCCATGATATCACCTGCAGCGAAGAGTGTATCATGCAGCATTCACCACCAATGGGGTTTTCCTTTCCGTCCTCCTCCCCCCCTTACTGTTCCGTCATCTGCCGCTGCGGTGAGGACGGTGCCGGTGACGTTGAAGCACACACGCCATATCTGCACACATACAGCCCACAGTTGTCACGAAGCATGCACTGAATCACACAACGCAATGGGTGTGATCTTAGGAGGCGGGCTCACCGGTCCCGGCGATATTTCGATCTTCTGCAGGATCTGGAGCAGCCACTTGTCGGACGCGCCGGCCACACCCGACTCTGCGCAGACACAGACACTCAGCGAGAGATGCCTGTCTGTCGCGTACACAACACACACAAGCTTGTTGCTTCCGTGCATACCAGCCGATGGTGGCAAGATGGCCTCCGCCTGAGCAAGGGGGCGAGCCGTCTGTCGATGGACGTATGTCTGCCTGGCTGTGTGCCAGCCCTATTACTGACCGGTGCGTTGGCCGATGTGTCCTGTTGTGGCTGCTGCTTCCACTGCCATATGTGCACCAGGGGCTCGTCCCCACAGGTGGCCAGCAGATCATACGGCCTGCATAGGTTGGGTGCCCACGCCACATCCTTCAGAGGGGCACTGCTCGCCTGCACACACACACACACACCAAGACAGGCCGATCCCATCCCGGCCGCCAGCCAACCTTTTGCTCTGCAAGCCTCGACCAGCCCCGTCCACTCCTGAAATGGACCACAGCAGCCAGCCATGCGGTGATCCAATCCATCGCTGTGTGTGCCGCCCGCCATGCCATAGATCGATCTCTCACTCACTTGCCCCAGACGTCGAGTATGCCGTCGTTGCCCACCACGGCCAGTATCTGGTCCTCACTGTCGAAGTTCCACGCCAGCGCCGTGCAGCCTCGGGGGCAGTTGCTACGCTTGTGACTTGTGAAACAATCCTCCTGACCGATTGATTGAACACACACCTCATCACACTCGAACCCTGGAACCCCGCAAACCCTTGCCTGATTTGAATAAGCCAGGAGAGAACGCTCCCGCGAAGACGGAAGATCTTTCCACCTCTTTCATCTGTCCCTTCTTTCCCTCCCTCTCTACCTGCCCACAGTTCGCTATCCCCTCCCCCCGGCCTGAGGTCATCTCAGATCTCTCATCTCGGTCAGGTCATGAAGATTGTGATGTGCCTTGTTGGTGCCCTTCTGCTGGCTGCTGCTGTCTGCGGTGCCATGACCGATGCAACCGCGCCATCTGACGCCGCCACCAATGTGATGGTGGGGAACGTTCAACAGGAGTGGAAGGAGCGCCTGCTTCCTTCCCTGTGTGTGTTTGCAGGTGCTTCGCGGATCCGTGAGCGCCTCCGCGGACGACGTCGATATGGACAATGGTGAGCCCCTCAACGGCTTATTCTCCTCATGTTCTGGGTGCATGTGTGTGCGTCCTGCCTTCCTGCAGCTCACGACGCTGAGGCTGAGGCGGAGAGGCGTGAGCTCCAGATGTACTGTTCCCCCGGCATGTGTTTCCCCCCGCCCTGCTGCTTGTCATCTCTTCCATCTGTCAGTCGCTACTGTCCCGACTCCATGTGCAACCGCCCCCGTCATCCCTGCTGCGTTCGCCAGTGGCCAGGATCGCAGGCGGCATGGTCACAAGCACGGCGACGACCATATTAATTAGAGGTGAATGGGGAGGAGAGAGCTGCGTGCAGAGTGCATTGCTCGATGTATCTGGCGAATGCACATGCAGGTGAGTGAGTGGGCGACTGACTGCACCGCCGACTGCTGATGGATGGATGATTACATGGACAACTTGTAGCCTAGTCCTCTGATCTGACTATCCTGCTACACTACGCTGGTGGGGGATGTATGCAATCATTCCACGCATGGTTTGCTTTTTTCCGTTGCTCGTGCCATTCATTCGTGTGTCTGTCTGTATCGGTACCACGTAATCATTCACATGGTCGGTGCTGGAATGCGCGTGCCAACTCTGATTGGATGTGTACAATCGGTGCACACGGTCGGCGATGGCTGGCTGGTCCCTTGCGGGTTCGTGTGCTGTGTTGTTCCCACCACAAACAACCCCTCGTTTGTCTGTCTGCCTCAGGGTGTCTCTGTGCCAGGCTTCCTGTTTCATTTTGATGGTTGTATTTGTCCTAGCTAGTGTATTTGTCGGTCCTAGTACGTCACTTTGCCTGCCTGCCTGGCGCAGTTGTTCTTTCGAAAACATGTGTATAACACGAACAGACGCTGTGTCGTGTGCTCGGTGCGTAAGGAAAATGAAATGATCGTACATGGCGAAGATTCACGTTTGCATCCATACACATATCATATGCACAGTCTGCATGATGTCTGAAATTGGCGCTGTCATACCAGCGGGGTACGTCACACGAGGGGTGCAGAGGTGGAGGTGAATGACTACACCCCTCCAAATCAAGTTTGCAATGGGATTGTGTATAACAGCCTGCTCGTGCTCGCGTTTGCACGCGCCGCAGCAGCGGGGCCATCGTTCTTCGGCAGCTCGGGCGTTAGGGCGCCGTTGAACAAACGTCCTGTGATGATCGACGAGGAGGCGACGCAAAGCTTGGTTTGATGTGATAGAGAGCAGGGAGAGCGCCTCTTTTCCTTTCTTTAAGTTTTCGAATTGGAATTCAAGAACGGACGGGCGAGAGAGAGAGAGAGAGATGTAGTTTTTCGTCTCCTTCTGTCTCGCTCTCTCTCTGTCGCCCCGCCCACCCGCCTCCCTATTCTCCGTCGCTTCCCTCATCCATCTTTTCCTCTTCTCTCTTGCCGACACTGATCCGCCTTGCCTCGAGCCTCAGACTTGCTATCGACCTGCTCTCTCTCTGAAGCCTTTCAGCTGCATCATGACTCGCCTCTCGGCTGCCGTGGTGTGCCTCATCTTCCTGGTGTCGGCTGCCCTGGCCGACGATGCTTCGCGCAACGGGCTCCGCTCCATGCGCGGCAAGAACGGTGCTGCCAGTGATCAAGGTACATAGGAATGAGACCAGATGCCTGCACATTACAGCCCATCACATCACTTGTCTGCCTGTCGTCTCTCTCTCCCTTTTTTTGTGCAGCTGCGGATGATCTTGTGTACGGCCTCAGGTGGACACACAGCATCCCCGAGCTGGACAGCATGCCTGAGGAGCCACCCCAGCATCGCGCCCTGTGGCCCAAGATCAGTGCACCCAAGATCAGCCCGCCCAAGATCAAAAGCCCCGATCTCGGCAATCTGGGTAAGGCAGCAGGCACGGCTGCTGGGGGGGCTGTTGGGACCAAGTATGGAGGCCCTGTTGGAGGCGCAGCTGGCGCGGCCGCTGGGGGCCGATTGGGAGAAAAGGCCGGAAACTGGGCGGAGGAGCGGCTTGGCGGCTCCTTTGGGTACAGACGTCTGAGTGACGACACGGCCGATGCAGAGGTAGGAGGGATGGGAGAGAGGCACTGGGCTTGCTTCAGCAGTTGTTCGCATCGCACCCCATCTCATTGCTTGCTGTCTGTCTGTCTGTCTGTGAGTGCAGGAAGCCGCGGATGATCTTGTGTCCGGCCTCGAGGACAAGGACGCTGAGGAGCATGAGGAGGAGCCACCCCAGCATCGCGCTCTGTGGCCCAAGATCAGTGCGCCCAAGATCCCCGCGCCCAAGATCCCCAGCCCCGATCTCGGCAATCTGGGTAAGGCAGCAGGCACGGCTGCTGGGGGGGCTGTTGGGACCAAGTATGGAGGCCCTGTTGGAGGCGCAGCTGGCGCGGCCGCTGGGGGCCGATTGGGAGAAAAGGCCGGAAACTGGGCGGAGGAGCGGCTTGGCGGCTCCTTTGGGTACAGACGTCTGAGTGACGACACGGCCGATGCAGAGGTAGGAGGGATGGGAGAGAGGCACTGGGCTTGCTTCAGCAGTTGTTCGCATCGCACCCCATCTCATTGCTTGCTGTCTGTCTGTCTGTCTGTCTGTGAGTGCAGGAAGCCGCGGATGATCTTGTGTCCGGCCTCGAGGACAAGGACGCTGAGGAGCATGAGGAGGAGCCACCCCAGCATCGCGCCCTGCAGTTCAGCCTGCCCAAGATCCCCAGCCCCGATCTCGGCAATCTGGGTAAGGCAGCAGGCACGGCTGCTGGGGGGGCTGTTGGGACCAAGTATGGAGGCCCTGTTGGAGGCGCAGCTGGCGCGGCCGCTGGGGGCCGATTGGGAGAAAAGGCCGGAAACTGGGCGGAGGAGCGGCTTGGCGGCTCCTTCGGGTACTAGACTGGTAGATGAATTGCGGACGCTTCCATGGTGTTGTGGGGCCGGGAGGGAGGAGTGAGAGGCGTCCTCTTGGGTCATGGGCCATGTCATGTATGCCCTGTCTGTCTTTTCCCATTCCCGTGTATGTATGTACCCCACTTATGTGTGTGCGTGTATGTGCGTGTAGACAGACAGGTAAGCAGGTAGATCGGTTCGGCGCTGCCGTGCCATTAGCGCACGGTACACAGATGCAATGGGCAATGGGGTCGGCTGACTGGATGCTATCATGATGACACGAGGCTGGGGCTTCGTGAATTTCATGGTTACATGGATATACAAGTGTACACTGGGCAGATCGCTTCGGCCGTGAACATGCACAGTGGTGTGTCACCCTTTTGCCTCGGGCCGTGTGTCTTTTCGCGCTCTCATGTATGAATGTGTGTTTGTGTGCACGTGTAGATAGGCAGGCAGGTCGGTACGAAGGGTAGTCGCTGCCGTGCCAGTAGCGTACGGTACACAGATACAATGCACTGGATGGATGGTGTGACGATGATGCACGAGGCTGGGGCTTCGTGGATTGCGTGCTCACATACGTGTGTTTGTACACTACGCGTTGCTCAAATGATTTGAGTTGGTTATTTGTGGGAACCATAGCGTGGGCGGCTGTGGTTTTCATCTGACTGACTGTCGATACGTGTACGTGAATGTGTGATGTGCCGTGTGGCCGAGTGGGCTGTGTGAGTGTCTGTGGGCCGAGTGCACGTACAACACTGATGGGATAAATGGATGGATGAGATTACGGTCGAGTGGAGTTCATGCCGCACTTTTCGCCTTCTTCGCTATTCGTCGGACTGAGTTACGTATTTGTGGGCTTCACAGACAGAGGTGCCTCCGTTTTCATTTGTCTGTCTCACTCATCTTCATACGCCTGCATGTGTGTGGTGAGTCGTGTGGCCAAGTGGGCTGTATGTGCCTTGTTTGTAAGTATGTTTGCATGAAGCACGCCCTGTGGATATGCAGACAGGATGGGGGGATGCATGGATGGGTGAGACACAATCAATGGGACACATTCACTTCACATTGAAGTCGATTGGATCACGCTGTGAGTCACCAGCACCAAGTACCTCCATCAAATGAGGTCCATCTGTCAGTCAGCTGGCTAGTGGTCGACCATCGCATCCGCCCCATGAGCCCCTCCCCCACTCACAGCAGCAGCAGCAGCAGCACCACCGCCACCGCCAGTGCCATTTAACAGACGATCAGACATGACTGCACACACACACAGAGAGAGAAGAGAGACACATGAACCGCGCGTGCGTGTGTCGTGCCCCCCTCTCTCTTTGGCTGACATGACGGCCTTGGTTCCTTCTCGTCATCTCCTGGTATGAGTGTGGTGATTGGCACCCACTCGGGCGGCTCCTGGTCGCCACACCGCCATGATATCACCTGCAGAGAAGAATGCATCATGCAACATTCACCAATGGGTTTTCCTTCCCGTCCTCCTCCCCCCCTTACTGTTCCGTCATCTGCCGCTGCGGTGAGGACGGTGCCGGTGACGTTGAAGCACACACGCCATATCTGCACACATACAGCCCACAGTTGTCACGAAGCATGCACTGAATCACACAACGCAATGGGTGTGATCTTAGGCGGGTTCACCGGTCCCGGCGATATTTCGATCTTCTGCAGGATCTGGAGCAGCCACTTGTCGGACGCGCCGGCCACACCCGACTCTGCACAGACAGACACTCAACGAGAGATGCCTGCCTGTCGCGTACACACGCACACAAGCTTGTTGCTTCCGTGCATACCAGCCGATGGTGGCAAGATGGCCTCCGCCTGAGCAAAGGGGCGAGCATGAGATGCCCTTCTGTCGATGGGCGTATGTCTGCCTGGCTGTGTGCCTGCCCTATTACTGACCGGTGCGTTGGCCGATGTGTCTTGTTGTGGCTGCTGCTTCCACTGCCATATGTGCACCAGGGGCTCGTCCCCACAGGTGGCCAGCAGATCATACGGCCTGCATAGGCTGGGTGCCCACGCCACATCCTTCAGAGGGGCACTGCTCGCCTGCACACACACACACACACACACACACAGAGCACAACACAATGTAACGCACACGCACATCCCATCAGCCCAGCCATCGACCGGTCAGCCAACCTTTTGCTCTGCAAGCCTCGACCAGCCCCGCCCACTCCTGTAATGAACCACAGCAGCCAGCCATGCGGCGATCCAATCCATCGCTGTGTGTGCCGCCCGCCATGCCATAGATCGATCCCCTACTCACTTGCCCCAGACGTCGAGTATGCCGTCGTTGCCCACCACGGCCAGTATCTGGTCCTCACTGTCGAAGTTCCACGCCAGCGCCGTGCAGCCTCGGGGGCAGTTGCTTCGCTTGTGACTTGTGAAGCAATCCTCCTGACCGATTGATTGAACACACAGCTGCAATGTGTGGGTGGTGATGGCCGCCATTGTGTGCGTACCATTGGCCACGCCCCGAGCGAGAGGAGGTCTTGCGCCTCGTAGATGCGGACGCTGCCGTCGGCACTGCACGTGGCCTGATGCGTCGCGTGGGTGGTTGAGCATTCATCCATCACACACACACGTGCGCGCCTCGGCTCTCTGTTTGTTGGCTGACCAGTCTGAGTCCATGCTTCTTGGGCGAGAACTGGATGTCGCGTACGGGCATCTGACACGGATATTTCGACGCAGGCCACAATGTGACCGTAGGGCGATGACCGTGTGTGCGTTGGATCGATTCACTTGTGCGTCTGAGAGTTTCGCTCTCCTCTTCCATATGTTTGTCAGATCTGCCGGCGCGCCGACATTCTCAGCGTGGCCCTTTGGTCTGTATCTCTCCGACCAGATGCAGACAGTCCTGTCCTCCGAGCAAGTCGCAAGAACCTATCCGCCAACGAGTACCTCTGTAGGGCCCACACTTGCGTGTCTTCTCTTGACTCGACTCACCTGGCCGAACTCGGGATGCGCCCAGTCGACCCGCCAGATGGGAGCATCGTGAGCCTGACCACACACAGACGATCTAACCCGTGCGTGCCGTGCCTCGAGACCACCCGTCGTACGCTCTCGATGTTGGCTGACTCATTCCACTCGCCGCTTCTCTGGTCGTAATCAAACACAATGACCTTCTGAGATGACGAACACACCGCCAGCCGGTCACCTGCATGAGCGACGGAGGGAGAAGAGTCAAGTCATTCAGTGAATGAATGAATGAACGAGTGAACGTTGTAGTGTATTAGCGGTTGGTGTGACTGTGCTTACCGTAGTAGTTGTATGTGATGTCGTGGATGTAGTCTGCTGACGTCGCCAGCCTCACTGTGATGCTCTTGTCCAACCGCTGATAAATCAACACAAACGACAAGCAACGGACGAACGCTGTGATTGATTCATCTTCCTTTGCTGACCATCCTGACGCGCGGCTGTATGGCGCTGCTGATCTTCTCACTTTTGTTTGTTTGTCGAATTTTAGCTCGCACGCCGATCGGGCGCTAAGGGCTTCTTTCCATCTTCCCTTCGGTGCAGTGCGGCTCAGCCTTACCTCTGCGGGCTTATGCGTGCGGATCATTCGAAAAAAAACACCTCAATTGCATCCACATTGGATGCAGTACGATCAATGCATGCAACTGGATGTCCCCTCCTGCCCACCGCACGTCCTGCCTCATCGAAAACCCGTCGAAGCCAGCCGAAAAGGGGAATTCGCCTTTGGCTTGCCTTGTTTGCTGTATCTGCAAACGCCAAAGCAACCCAAGTGCAGCGTAGAGATAGAGAGGAAGAGGGATCGGGAACGGGAAAACGCGAGAGCAGCACAACGAGCCATGCAGCGCAAAACAGCGCACGTGATACGTCGGGAGGCCGTGCATCTTTCAGATGCTGGCCCACGCATCCCCACTGATGGCTTCCTTCCTTCGGTGCCCACACGCAAACAAACAGCCACACACGGTGACTTACTAAGACATCCCCACCGGCCGCACACACATACGGCATCAATGGCAACTTCATTGGTTTGACGCCACTCATTCGAATCACATCCCTCCCCTTCCACCACCTACACTACTATGGCGTCACCAATTAGCACAGAGTCAGCGAGTTCGACGGGCAGCTTGCATGTCTCGGTCGATAGAAAGAACCCCACCTGAGCTGTGCTGACCGTTTCCGCGGTGAAATTGACCGTCAGGAAGGCCACCCCGGTCGGAGGCGGGTTCTTGATAAGCTCTTCGGAGGGCGCTATGAACACCTGCATTATACAGACGGAAACAAACGAGATGGGCAGCTAAACCGCAGGAAGACGCCTGGGTTCAGCTGCAAAGGCTGACCACGTCCTCGAAGGTGATTCTGTCCTTGTCAGTGTCGGCGTCGGACTCGCCAACCACTTCGTTCATGACCCCTTGGACAGTGATATCGACGTCGCCCACGAGGCTGAACAACAAGGCAGACACGGACGCAAAGATGGACAGACCCAGGCGATAGAATCGATTTCCTGTGAATGAAGTGGAGTCGCTCGGTTTGTCCTCTTTCCCACCTGTTGGAAGCTATGACCAGCACGGGTTCTTTGATACCCTGGCAAGCAGAGCACAACAACAGCAGGACAGGGGTGACGCATACGCCCCCGCGTACGTACGTGCGTTCGTACCTCTGGTATGCTGTTGAGGGGCACAGTAACGTCCAGAATGACCTGTCGCGTCTTTTTGCCGACAAAGGCATTGACAATGTGCGGTTTCATATTGCCCTCGAACGCCAGCGTTGCACAGATTTCCTCGTATCCATCGGTCTGCTCCGTCACTTGACTGACGTCGTCTTTCGTCAGCCGCGCAGCGCCAACCTTCTTGACGCTGCCTGCTGCGTCCCGCACAGACATTTTGACATTCTCTCTCCTTTTGAGGCTCTTGCCATCCTCCCTGCTTCGGTGGAGCAGCTCTATCTTCCCCCGGATGTCCTCGAGCTTCTCTCTCAATTGCAAGTTGGCGTCAAGCGGCGACGGAAGGGAGCTTTGCACCACCGGCTGAGCGAAGGCCGCAGCAAGGAGGAAGAGGGCCGTGGCACTCATATTTTCCCGGACGCACGCATTTACGCTAGCTACGCTGTTGCCAGACCGTTTGAGAAAACGGCAGCAAGAATGAGGTCTTTCCCTGCTCTCTGCCTTGCCCTCGCGGCAACACAGCTGTTTGCGGGTGAGCACCACACTCACTCAACCACATTTGCCTGCCTGCTGATGTCTGTGTGTTGCTTGTGTGCAGCTGCGCAGGACAGTGAACCCAAAGTCCTGGAGCCCAAGGAGCAGGTGTTCCTTGTGGGCTCCATCAACGGCGAGAAACACCTGCACAATGCGGCTCCCATCACCGTCGACCCCTTCCCCCTCCATCCCCCCGAGCCGCCCCGCACAGTCACCATCCTCTTCCAGCCAGACCCCGAGCACGCCACCAAAGAGCTCGAGGACATCCAAAGCGTCCAGTTCACCGTCAGGAATGAGAAAGGAAGAGCAGTCTACAATCGGACGACGTCCAGTCCACCGTTCTCCCTCTTTGCCCACGAGAAGGGGACATTTCAGGGTGCCTCGCTCGGCACCAAGACTCCCAGCACGCAGCTGAGGCGGAGCCTGCAGAAGGACGGCAACCATCACTCTTTCCTGCTGCAGGGGCGCCACACCCTTGAGGCGGCGGTGCTGCGGAAAGGAGACAAAGACCCCAAGGTCTTCACCGTCGATCTGAAGACGACGAACCACAGTGAGCCAGAGATGCAGACAGACCTACCAGCCTGCCACCCACCACTCATTCATGGATGGCTCTCTGTCCGTTGCGTGCAGGTAGCTCGTTGCTGACCCATCCCGGGATAAGTGGGATAGAACTCGAGAAGGAGACATCCGACGAGTGGTTCGGCTCTCTCAAGGAAGCGGCCACCAAGGCGGGCATCGCCTTCGGGTCCGCCATCTGCCAGACGCCATTCGACCTGCAGGGCACACCGAGATGCCGATATGGCGGCGAGGGGGCGTACCAAGCCATTGTGAGAGAGGAGCTGGCTGTCATATCGCCCGAGAGGGAGTGCAAGTGGTGGTTTACCCGGACGAGTGCGGACTTGGATGAAATCGACTTCACTGGCTGCGACGACATCTTTGACCTAGCCATCGCCAACAAGCAGCAGGCGCGCTTCCACACGCTCCTGTGGCACAGCGACGCCTTCTACGGCAACATCGAGGAGTGGCTTCACGCCATGAAGGCCGTCGACAAGAGAGCCCAGCTGATCGGCCACATTGAGAAAATGGTCGAGAGGTATCGGACGCCCAAGTACTCCAACATCATCGCATGGGACGTTGTCAACGAGGGTATGGCACATACGCACAACTTAGGTGTCTTGACGTCTGTTTGTCTGTGTCATGTGATCTGTGTGTGCAGCGATTGATGACGCGCAGGACGAAGCCGAGGTCAGGAGCGGCGGCTACAAGCTGCGTGACAGCATGTGGCATCCCGACCTCCCCGAGTATATCGACCTCGCCTTTGTTTACGCCCACAAGGCCGGACAGGCCGCCGACGCCAAGCACAACTCCACCACGATGCCGCCCATGAAGCTCTTCTACAACGACTACTCGTGCGAGTCCACTGAAGGCTACAGCGGCACCAAATCGGACGCCGTCTACAACCTCTTGGCGGGCATGAAGAGACGTGGGGTGCCTGTCGCAGGGGTCGGCTTCCAGTCGCACGTCAACGGCGAGTACAGCTACTATGAGGGCGTGCGGAAGAACATGCGGCGTCTGGGCGAGTTGGGGCTGGAGGTGCAGTTCACCGAGCTGGATGTGGCCTGCGGCAAATGGGGGGTGGGTGCGGGGGACGACCCCGGCTACACGCCCTGCAAGCAATCCGAATGGACACCGGAAAGAGAGCTGCAACAGGCGAGAGGGACCAGAGACAAAGCACAGGCGAAGACAGAGTCCATGCGACCTCTCTCCATTTGTGCCTCTAGGCGGAGATATACCGGCAGTTTATGCGTGTATGTCTGGAAGAGCCCAACTGCACCGGCTTCATCACATGGGGCTTTGTGGACAAGTCATCGTGGCTCAACCGGGGCATGTATTCCCCTGACTGGCCGCTGCTCTTTGACTCGTCATACAAACCCAAGCAGAGCTACCTCGCACTCAGAGAGGAGCTGAGGAACCACACGATAGCCGCGGAGAAGATGGGGCGCCGACAGTGACGCCGGCCAGCGTCGTGCGTAGTGTTTGCGTCGCGTCAAGTGGTGCTGTGCTCTCTGACGGGCGACTTAGGCAGTGAAGTATTTTGTGGTGTTTTGTGTTTTGTGTGGCGGAGGCAGATATGAGACAAGACACCGAATGTCGGTGTCATTCCATCCACTGACTGTCGAACAAGTGGTTTTGAGCGAACTGGGGTCTCCTCGATTGCTGATTGGGCGGGGTGATGTGTGTGTGAGAGATCGAAGGTGTGCATGCGCCATGGATGAGACATCATCGCATTCACGATCGTTCAACTGACAGGTCGTCCGTTCATGTAATTAATGCGAACAAGCCGATCGGATCGCTGGATGGATGTGTGTCCGCCTTGCCTGCCTACCTGTGAGCATGACTACAGCTCTCACTTGACTGTCAAAGACCGCATTGATTGACAAATACTACAAAGAACGACAAAGGAAAGAACACATGCAGCGAACGAATGCACTGCAAACACATCTCCATCACCAAACAGAGGACAGCTCAGCTCAGCTCAGCTCAGCTTGGCTGCTGCTCATGTGTGCGTTCGTCTAGGAGCCGCCCTGCAGCACACGCTTCGACACCTTCCTGCACGTATCCCTCACACTCTGCACACACACGAGAAGACAGGCAGCCGGGAGAATGAAGACACCTCTCTGCACACACACATGTGTGGCTTCCTTCCTCCCGTACCTCCTTGAAGTAGCCATAGAACTCGTTCTGTGAGCACCGGCCATAGCCACCCCTCCCCTCCCCGCCACACGTCGGCCAATACAGGCCCTCGGACCGGTCGATGCATGTGTTCAGCTGCACCAAGTAACACACCAAAGGCCCTAGGAAAGCAGCAGCCTGCGGCGCAAAATTCGGGCGGCATTGCTCCCGAACGTAGCCACAAGCAGTCGAAGCGATGCCCTTGGCGGCACTGTTGCTGAACTGGGTGCAGGGGTTGGAAGAGCTGCGGCAAAAGGGTGAGGGGTCACAGGACTGGAAGCACCGATAGAGACTCTGACCGGACAGCAGGTTAGAAACGCACTGCGAGCAGCACTTTCGTTGCTGCAGGGCGCGCCCGCTGCCCTCCTCAGCCTCAGCGTCCACCACCCCCACACAGCCGTCCTCGTCGCAGTCGACGAAGGCCTCGGCGGCCATGTCGGTGTCGTTTGCTGGTGAGGGGGGAAAGATGGGCTGATGCGCTGTGACATTCGGGGGCGGGACCGGCTGTTGCGATGGGATGGGAGGGCTCGCCTCACCTACAGAGAAGCACACATGCGCAATAACATAGATAGATAGTCCACCCTCTTCATCCGGTTGTTACCGCTCGTGGATGTCGATTCATTCAGGGGTCGCCCGTGCGGCTGAGAAAGCACCGCTGCGATCAGACAGAGGAAGATAAACGGACACAGCGCACGAGTCACCATTGCGGCGTAGCGAAGAGATCAAGCGTGACGGACAGGCAGGAAGGAAGCGGACGAAAGTGACAAGAGGCGGAAAGAACTGGAGGGATGGGCTGCGGTGATGCCAAGCGAACCGGCGGACTGCCAGCCTCAACGTCACGCCCCCTCAATCATTCCTTCTCTCAGTCCTTCATATCCCTCCTCTCAGTCCTTCCGGATCTCGGCTTTGGCCCAGAGCAACCTGGCCAACCGTTGGTACGGTACAGTGTACAGAGCCTTTATGCGCGAATTCATCGAAGCCGGGCGTAGTGCTGAATGTATGATTTTCACTCTCTCACGGCCCTGCTCGCGTACCTCGGCTTCTGGGTAGGCACACATGGCATGATTCGCACAGACACGCACAGCATCTGCCATGTGCGTGTGTCCAGGTGCTCGTGTGTCCCGGCAGCCTGCAGGGTGTGGCAGGGAAGCCTCGTCGCGATGTCCTCGACCCCCCGCTTGAGCTCGACTTCCCCATTCCCTTCGAGAACACCATCAACGCGCTCAGAGAGAACAATGGCGCCACGAGGCTTGCAGAGTTCCTCGCCAACCCCCCACAGACGCCAGGAGAGAAAGCCGCGGCCACTCTCGAGGCGCTCAAGCCAGAGCCCTCACCTTTTCTCGAGTCCACCATCCCTGCGGTACGTTTGTCAGTCAATCGGGACACGCACGTGTGTGGCCTGGCCTGAAAGTGATGCGTATTGGTGTGGTGCAGGCGTTCGATGCGATCAAGAACAAGGAGCCGCTGCCGACTGTTGTGCCGGGGCAGAAGCAGTCCATTCCCCCTCTGTCGCAGCTCAAGTGCAACCCCGCCATCAAGAACTGCACCGACATCGCCTCGCTCACCATCCCCATAGGCGTCACACTGCGAAACATCTACGACAACTCGCTTGTCGGAGATGCGCAAAACGTCATCGGCACCTTTGTCAATGACTTATACGTACGTAAGCACACTAAGGGACGAACACTGTCCAGGGTCAGTACAGTACACGTCTCTTTGCCGCTATCAGAACATCACCGTGGCCAAGGCCTTGGGCATTCCCCAGCCGAGCACCGGCCTTGTCACGGTCAATGACGGCATCAAGCGGCTGCAGCTGGACCCCATCTACCAGCGGCTATACGACACGGCCATTGCCGTGTCAACACAGACCACGGTCAACAAAACGGACCCCATCGTCCAGTTCCTGTCCAATGTGACGGAGTTCGTACTGTGGAATGCCTACCGGCGAGTCGACAAGGATGGCGAACTCAGGCTCGCCCGCGCGCAGCAGAAGAATGCCGTCTTTTCGGCCATTGCGTGTGCGGCGACCGGGAAGAAGCTGGCGCAGTGTGACAGAGTCCTGCCGACCAGCTCGCCTGATCCGATACTCTCCCTGCCTTTCAATATTTCGGACCCCATGTTCAACCTCGAAGCAGTTGCGGAAACACTTGTTTTCGACTTCCCAGGTGGGTGGGTGGGCGGCGGGGCGGGCCACACCAAGCACACCCACAATGCGTGTGTGTGTGTGTGCGTGTGTGTGTGTGTGTCCAGCGTGCGTGGAGGTGACGGGTCACAATCTGGCGTGCCTCAAGAATGCGGGCGGGCAGTGCGTGTCGGGGTCGGCCAATCTGCAGCCGGAGCAGTTCGACGCCGTCTACAGGCGAGACAGGGTACTGGAGGAGCAATTCGCGGAGGAGCTAAGGCGGGGTGAGATCCCGTTGAGGGGAGTTGTCTCGGACCCTGTTGTCGGTGTCGACTACGGGCCATTCTACACGGTCGGCCAATAGGATGCCAGCTGGCCCACAGCAACGGTGTGGGCGTGTCATGGTTTCTGTCTGTGGTGTGGATGTGCGCACACACAGGTGCCTGTGAAATTCCGGTCTTTCCCCAATGTGAAGCGGCTGGTGTTCGAGCCACGGTCTGTGGAAGTCAGCGGTGTCGTCGCTGCATCCATCGTAATATCACCACAAGACCCTTTCGACATCGCTAGGGTCAGTCAGTCAGTCAGTCAGGCGGCACACAAGCTTGCTGACATACTCCTAGTCACTCATCCATTGATCGATGCAGGACCTCCCATCCGTCTTGTTCCCCGGCTTCCGGCCGCCCTTTACCTTCGCACTCCAAAGTGGGAGGGGGAGCGAGTGCCAGTCGGCCGCATCTCCAGGGGGCGGTGTCCCTAGCCCCGAGGTGTTTGAGGCCCTCGGATTCGAAGTCAGCCCTGTCCCGCTGGTGCCCATCACGCCACCCGAGTTCCTCAACGACACCACGAGCCCCATCGAGAAGGCATGCAGCTGCATCTGCGTAGATGTGCCGCCCACCTCGCCAGTCTTCGTGCCCGGCTGCATCCCCTGCGATGACGAATTCGACCGCAAGAACTGTGATGTGACGCTTGAGGGGCTGGCGAGTGTGCAGCAGCTGTGCGAGCGCGGGTCGCTGTACGAGAATGTGTTTAGCCGGATACAGCAGCAGGGCACTATCGGGGAGTGCAACGGGGTCGTGGAGCCCAACTTTTGCTTCTTCGACTTCGACATCGCGGCCAGGGGGATATTCGATGAATTAAAGTGTAACCAGACATTCGCAGCTCAGGTGTGTGTGGCTGGGTTGGTATGTGGGTGTGTGGGTGTGGACGCACGTTCCCTCGATCGTGCTCTCCGTGCGTGTGTGTGTGTCTTCAGTTTCCGCCTGAGCGGAATTCATCGTCATCAATGAGGACGCCCGACGAAGCACTAAAGGCTTTCTTTAGCCGAATGGGGCGACCGGGATAAATAGACCACACGCACGTGTACGTAGTTTGATTCGATGTACATATTCACATACACACATACATTCGTGTATTTGTTTGTATTGTCGACCGATGAGACAATCAATTCGACACGCCGATGGATCGATGGATGGGAGGATGTGACAAGGATCACACGGCAGGGATGATGCGAGCGTCTGACCATTCATTTAGTGGCGATCAGCGTTTTGATGTGATGTTTGATGTGACATTATATATCTGCTGTCGGTGAATCATTCATTCATGTCACTCATGTCACGGATGCATCCGCCAGCCAGCCAGGTATCCCATCCCACCCCACACCACTGCACACCACTCCACTTCATTCCATCCATCAATCCATTCCTCTCGATAAACACAACAGCAGGCAGACAGGCAGGCAGGCAGGCAGGCAGACAGGCATCCTTGCACGTATGCACGCATGTATGTCTCTCTCTCTCTCCGTCTAGTGGCTAGCCTACATAAGAGGCAGCCGGCCAGCTACATTATATTTCCTCCTGCTCCTCCTCGAGTGAGCCATGGTCGCCTCTCTGGCCACCGAAGGACGCACGGCCAGGCCGACAACCCGCAGCATCACCACCACTGCCCGTTGACGGCCCGGCGATGTGCTCCTCGGACGCGTGAGGCTGCATGGACTGGGAGTGGCTGCGGGAGGTCCGCTGCTCACCGGCACACTGAAAGGGGCAGGCAGGCAGGCAGGCAGGCAGCAAAAATGGGAATGTATCTGTTGGTGGGTGGGTGGGTGGTGGGTGGATGGTGGCTGACCGGGAGTGCGGATGTGAGAATGGGTTGTGCGTTAGAGAATAGGAGGGAGGAGTCTTCGCCGAACATGATGCCGCCACGACGACGCCACTTGAGCTCAGACCTCTGACACAATGCAGCACACAGAGAGATCAGGAGCCGTTGTGTGTCGCAGCTTCTGTGTCTCTTGGTCGGCTCTCACCAGAGTGCGAATGCTGTCGCGGGTGCGGTCAAGCTGATGCTGCGGAACACACAATATTATGCCGCACACACACAACGACACATCACGTCATGTCTCTTTTTTCTCCCGTCTGTCTCTCCCTGGTGTGTGCGTCACCAGCAGGGCCTTCTCCATGGCTATCGTCTCCTCAAGTCGGTCCTGCTCCACACACACGCATGCAGGCCGAGAGGGAGGATGAGACGGCCGTCTCTTTGCACCCACCCACCTTGATCCTATGAATATTCATCTCTCCTCCGCCATACCCGCCGCTCAACCCGCCCCTCTCCGTCTTCTCGCCACCCTTCAGCCCCTCCTTCTGCTCAGCCATGCCAGTGACCATGGTGGGCATGGTGGCCGTGACTAGGTCGACCTTCTCCCACTCGCTATCCTCCTGGTCCTCAACCATGCTCGGACGAGTGCTGGGGGTCGTGTTGCTCTGACCAGACGGCACACGACGGGCCGCCGTGTTGATGGTGGCGGACGCCGCTGCTGCGGCTGTGCTGGCAGGGTATGTCGGTGGGAGTCGGAAGCCGGGGTAGAGTGTGTTGCGGTGTGGCGTGGGCGGGCTGTACTGGGCGATGCTGCGGGCTGACGGGGGCTGGAAGGTCTGCACCTGCGCGTCACGGCTGCCCGACATCATAATGCCGACCTGATAGATGGATGGGAAGGAGACACAGAGGAGCATCGCGGGTCAATGGATGGCCTGCGTCCCTGTCTGATTACCTGTGTGCTTTGGTGGATGAGGTCCGTCTGTGTCTCTGCAGCCACACCCACCAGACCCGCAGCTGTAGCCGCAGCAGCACTGGCGGAGCGGTTGTTCTGCTCATAGAGTGTGTTGTAGAGGTCGGTATTTTCATTGGTGACCTGCGCCAGCTGCTCCGCCAGCAGACGCTCGCGATCCGTCGGGCCGCTCTGCAAGTGACGAACCTATACAACAACAGCCGCACCCTTGAGGACGGCCCGGTGGGCGTCGGTCAGCCACTGACCTGGTCTTCCAGTGCATGCGTCTTTTCAGTGAGGGCGTCGATGACAGTCTGCAGCTCCTGGTGGGTGAATGGACAAGGGAATGAGACACAGAGAGAGACATGGAGGGACGGAGTGTGTGTGGTGAGTACCTCTTCGGTCTGTTGTTTCTTGTGTCGCAGGTCTTCGATCTGCACCTTGAGCTCCTGGTCTTGGTCGCCACCACCTAGCACCAACTCCAATCGCTGCAGACACAGAGAGAGAGATACCCAGATAGCACTAGTGGCACATGAGGAGAGAGTGTAAGCCTGCCGTCTGCAGCTTGGCCCTCTCAGCTTCCAGGCTCTCGATCTGCTTCGCCAGAACCGCCTACACACACACGTATGCAACGGGGCAACATGTGTGTGAACTGCAGTAGGCAGGTATGGCGGTTGTCTTTCCTCTCTCTGCCCACACCACACACCTACCTCGTCCCGCTCGGTCTTCCTGAGCTGCTCTAGATGTCTCGCCTCCGCAGCCGCAAGTTGCTGAACAAACGAACGAAGGAGACGCGATATCCGTGTGTGTGTGTTGATGCCTCTGTATCTTTCCCGCTGACCTCTCTAAGCCTTTCAAATTCCTCCCCATGATCGCCGCCCCCACTCACCCCCTCCCCGTCTGCCGCCCCAGTGGTCTGCGTGACCGCACTGGCCAGTTCAGGTCTGCTGGCGAGCGTCTGCTGCAGCTGGTGCACCTCGTGCTGCAGCTGGTTCTGGAGGATGGTCTTCTCCTGCTGCACGGCGTCCAGCTGGGCGCGGATGCGCTGGAGCTCGTTGACCGCGTCGTCGTAGCGGTCCTGCAGCTCGCGGATGCCATGCTTCAGACGCTTCTCCGACTGCATCCATGGATGGTACATCCATGTGATGGGCAGATGGACAGAAACTCTTATGTGTGAGAGAGGTACCTACCTGTGTCCTCTCCTGTTTGAGTGTCTTGATTTGTGCCTTGAGGTGATCCTCGCTGGCCTCCCGTGTGGCCTTGATGGTGGCCAACTCGCGACCGTGCTCCTCAATAGCGCCCTCAAACTGAACACACACACACATGAGACACACACAGAGACGTGGATGTATTGCATTGTGTTGGGTGAAGACACCTCCTTTTGCATTTTGGTCATGGCGGCCTCGTGGGCGTCCCGGTGAGCCTGACGGACAGACAGGTGGATGCAGAAGAAATGACTGGATGCCATGAGGGGTGCGGCCCGGGGCAGTGCTGTCACCTGAGCCTCCGCTAGCTGGTCGAGAACACCCTGGTGTTGCGCCCGCAGCTGGGAGAGCTCATCACCAGCAGACAATACATCAACCTGCGAAGCAACAACATTGTCGTCAGTTTTCTGTTTGCGGTGGCGGTCGACTCTTGCTTGTCTCACCTGTCTGCCCTCGACACCATCGGTGCCCTCTTGCGCGGCATCGTTGGACAGTGTCTCCAGTTCTCGGATCCTATTCTTCATGTCAGCGGCCCTCTGGCGAAGGTTGGCCACCTCGGCCTCCAGCAGCCCCCTCTCGATCTCCCACACCGACAAATCGTCTCCATCCATGCTCGTGAAGCTACAATCAACAACACAACACAACACAACACAGCAACGGCATTCACAGGCATAGGGTATGGTGATTGTTGGTGTCGGAATGCCGACCTATCTCTCAGGTTTGGTTTTGTCTGCGCTATCATGAGTTTAGCCGGGGTCCGTGCATCCGGCGAGGGGCGAGGGGGAGTGAACTCAGGCATCGGAGGCAGCAACCCTGAATTGAATGCACACGGAGAAAAACACCCTGACCATTGACACGAGGACAATGCACCCTCGTTCGACTTACCTTTGCCATGGGTGTGTTTCTGGCCCCCCTCCCCGTCGCGGCACGTCACTCCTCCATCCCCTTCTCCCTCTGCCGCCCCCGCCCCCTCCACACGAGCCGTGTCCGGCCGCTCCCCCCTCACATCGCACTGGCTCGCCCAACGCTGAGGCGACAACACCCCAAGCGACGCAAACGGCCCCCCAGCCCCCTTCCTCGGAGGACTCTCCGTGAACTGGCTGCTGGTGGATGACGGACTGCCGTCCGGGAGCGCTGGCAACGATGCAGACGGGGAGCCGAAGGATGGGGCCTTGCCGAAGAGGAATCGGCCGAGCGGCTGCGGGCCCTGCGGGAGCAGGGGGCGTGTGAGTGATGAGTTGGTGGCCGCCACGGGAACAGAGGCCGTCGAGAGCGACGGGGAAACGCCAGACTGCAGCATGTCGATGGGCAGATGCGAGCCATCACCATCCTTTCCACTATCACCGCCACGTGAAGAACCTGTAAACAGATCAGGGAAGAAGGAGGAATGACAGAGATCGGACACATCATATTATGCAATAGACAAGCTTTCTGTCCCCACCAGCAGAGTCTGTGACGAGCCTCCTCAGCCCCTCGACGCCCTTGGCCAGCCCGCCCAGCGCCCCCTTGAACCCCACCCCTCCACCATGCCTCTTGCCGCCGTCATCCCTTCCCTGCCGGTGGTGCGGCCGGGCGCTGGATGGCGGTGAGGAGCCCTCCCGCCATGTGGGTGAGGCTGACATGAAGGGATTGCTGTGTGCATGCGGCTGGCGGTCGGTGCGCGGCGAGATGGCCAGGGACTGCCGACGGGCATCTTCGATGGAACGCTTCAGTGCAGAGATCCAGCTGAAGGAATGGATAACATTAGATAACATGGACAATGCGGCCTTTCCTGCCTCCCTCCCTCCCTGCGGTGCGTATGCTCACTTTTGTTTATCTTCGAGCGTTTCAGCCGCCAGGATGATGACGTGGGTCTTGAGAGCGAGGGCGAACATGTGGTCGAACGAGCCGCCCGTGGAGCTCTGCACCGCCCCGGTGGGCGGCAGGTCCACCGATTCCACCATCTTGCGGCTGTCGCCCTCACCGTCATTGCCCTTGGTGAGCTGGTACAGCATCAGGCGGTGGTCATCATGCAGCTCCCCGTACAGCAGCTTCCATCGGAGGGACTTAGAGGACCGCTTGTACAGCGGGCCGTGCATCTGGACACGGCCCGACATGGTGGATGGATGTCCTTGCGATGGAGTGAGAAGTGAAGTCACCTCTTGCTCGCCCTCTCGCCCCGCCCGTAAATCCCCTATGAAACGGCGCCTGGACCTATGAAAGTGCATTTGGAGTTCAGGTGAGATGCAGTTTTGAGTGCACTCTCAGTCCCATTCAACGATCTGCCTTCGTGTGTCCTCCCTTTGTCCACACACACAGTGGTGGCCTTGAGTTGCTGTTCGGCAAGAAGAAGCAGCTCACGCTGGAGCTGGACCAGGAGACCATAGGTCAGCACAGTCTGTCTGCACACAGACACGTGCACCACACGCACCGCCGGGTCAGGCACGTACGTGTTCCCTCTCTCGTCGGGTGTGTGTGTGTGGTGCGCACAGGCATCTTGCCGCTTATTCAGCACATTCGGGACCATCTGTTGAAGGAGAGACCTGAGCTGTTTGTCGTCGGCAACTCTGTGTGAGCAAGAGAACGAGAGAACGGGAAAATCACATGCATCCTCTATCTTCCCTTGTGTGTGCCTGTCCCTCTGTCAGTCGTCCGGGCATTCTGGTGTTGATAAACGACTGCGACTGGGAGCTGGAGGGCGGCACGGAGAGCATCGTGAGGGATGGCGACAAGATCTGCTTCATATCGACCCTACACGGCGGATAGAGAGAAAGAGCGACGCCCACGTGTTCATCCTGATGGCCCACCCTTTGCCGATTGAGCTGTGGCACGAGCGTGTGGCACCCTGCCTGCCAATTACTGACTTGATGGCCCTCCGCGCATCGTCTCGGGCAGTCGGCAGCTCGGTCATCACTGTGGCTTTGCTCCAGGGATCGACGCATCCCTCGCCCGCCACTCGCTCACTGGCCTCGTCGACGTCGCTTACCGCCAACCAACGCCTGCTCGTGGATGTGGATGGACTCGGGCGCTGCTCGCATTCGCCCGTCGCGCTCGTCGAGTGCTGCGCGTCCCCACCATGACTCGTTTCGGCTATTTCCTGCGAGTGGCTTGTGTGCTGGAGGAAGGCGACAGGGAGTGGCGGGTGATGGGTATGATCATCAGACTGGCGAGCACTTATCGGCTGACGGCGCACACGACCATGCCCGTCGTGCTGTGGCCGCACTGGGTGGGCCGTCATCTGCCCAGCAAGGCGGCTCTTCACCAGATGCCTCTTATGATGGCCATCTATCGGCTCATCGGCCACCGCCTCAGATACCAACCGGGCTTACACGGGAATGAGCAAGAGGTCAGGCTGGCCCCCCTGCGACGGACCAAGAGCGGCGACTTCCGGATCGGCGAGAATGCGTTTCGTGTGGTGCCATCAGAAGACCTTCCTCCCGGCCACCGTTTTGCTGACTGCTACAGCCGGCGAGATCCCGTCATCCGCACATGGGGAGACCGTCTGTATCCCTCTCTCTCGTCCTTGCTGCTGTCGAGACTTGCCCAGTGGAGCCTGCAGAGCCTCAATGGGGTGTTTGTCTTCATCATCAGCAAGCAAGACGGCCGCTATCGCTCTCTGTTCAGCGACGATATCGGCGAGGAGGAGGGCATCGCCGTGGACCCTGAGGATTGCCGCCCACTATCCATCGGGAAGTCTTCCGGCCAGCTCATCTTCGTCAGCGGCTTCAGGCCACACGAGACCACCGCCGTTTCTTTGAAGGCGGGTGCCGAAGTGGGCAGCTGCGGACAGGTCCTCGCGTACACAACCGAGGTGCCTGCTGCTGAGGAATCATCTCCATGGGATGTCCGCTTCCCGCTGTCAGCGCCGCCGCTGCGTCGGATACTCAGACGCTTTGGTCTGGAGAGTGAGATCAGCAAGACCGTGTCGTTGTATCAGGGGATGTGTAATGAACTTATCAGAGGCGACATATATTTATCGACCCGTGTGTTTCCAGACTGTTGATGAATCAAACCAGCTGCATGTGAATGAATCTTGTTTGATGATGTCTTCTGGTCCTTGCCCTGCTCCGCCCTCCTCCTTTCATGTCGGAGAACCCGCCACTGCGAGCTTAGCCGGAGGGAAGACCTCGAAGGAGCGGATCTGCCTTCTGCAATAACGCCATGCAGAGGAGCAAATGCTTTCGTCAACGTCCACTCATCCATCTTGCTCTCTGTCAAGCCCTTCTCGCCTTTTGCCGCCTTAACCCCTTGTCGGCTTTCCAGCCGCACAATGCACTGCCCATCGGCCGCTCTCTGGCCCCGTCGGCCCACCAATCGCGGCAACATCGTCCGAGGAATGGCGCCTTGTTAACCACGCTGCCGCTCTCGGCAACACTGAGTGTCGAGAAGCCCGGCTCCGACACGCAAAGTGACGCCAAAGCAGCTGAAGAGGCGGCTCGCGTGACCGTCAGGATATCTGAGTCTGAGAAGTGGGTGGTGTCTTCTGAGCTGTGGGAGAACTTCGGTATGGTCGAAGGGGAGGAAGATCGGTACCTCCCTACGCAGCGGACGAGCGAGAATGCACCGTGGGTGCGCGTGAAGGCGTTTGTGGCAACAGTGATGAAGAGTGAGGGCGACTTTGCAGTGGGCGAAGAGGTGATTGGCTACGAGCAGCCGGGAACGCCCAAAGGTGAGGGAGGGACTGCCCCCTTGCGCATTCACTCTCTCTTCTGTCTGTCTGTTTCCGTGAGTGCCTGCAGTGTTGGATGACCTGTCTGTGCTGCCTTCCAGCCTTGTGAGGAAGCCAAAATCCCTCACACGCAGACAAGCAGGTAACGTACACGTGCTACGCAGACAGGCAGACAGACAGGAATCACGCAACAAGGTCACCCACCCACGGAACACTGTCCCTGTCATCCCTCCCTCTTCAGTGCTGCTTCCCCTCCTCGCCATCACGGCGGCGGCCGTCCTGGCCCACTTCGCCAGACAGCCGAGCGTCCTCAGGCCTCTGAGAGGAGGCGCACGCGCTGCCAGCAGCACCAAGCCCTTCGCTGCCGACGTGTCCCGGCCAGAGCCGATATCGTTGCCGCCGGGTGTGGTGTTCGAGATGGGCAAGGGGCTGGAAAGCGTCAAGGGTGTGCTACTGGGGCTCAGCGCCACCAACACCTTCCTGTGCCAGATACTCCACCTGCTCGGCGCGCACGTGTCCATTGTGGGAGCGGACAAAGTCGACGGACAAGTCAAGTACTAAGTGACGTGACGCAGCACAGCACAGCACAGCAGACGAGTCATCAAGTCATCACAGACAGCACATGCCATGCCGCCTGTCCTGTCTGTTGGTGGCATCAGGTATCGGTGGGGCCAGCTAGGTGCGGATGGTGGGGTGTATGACGTGCGGGATGGAGTGGACTTCGAGGACGCTGCGGGCGGGACGCCGTCATTCGTCATCGATGCGGTGGGCAGGGAACCAGACGACGTCCAGGAAGCCGTCACTCGGGTAGCTACAAAACACAACCGCAAGACGACCAAACCAAACCACGAGCAAGGACCACTTTCTCCCTCCTGTCTTCCTTCCCTTTTGTCTGCAGTCCTGGAACGCCCGCTATCTGTCCACAGCCCCATCAGCCCTTCTTGAGGCAGCTGGGGGCGGCCTCGCTTCCGCATTCGGCAGCGTCATCTCCATTTTGGCCAAGAAGACCGACGCCTCTGAGCCAAAGATGGCCGGTCGTGTGAGGAATTGGACGCCGAGCACGTCTGCTGTGGGCGCGCTGCGGTGGGCTGCTGATCTGGTGGAGAGCGGGAGGGTGAGGGAGCTGCCTGAACGGCTCGTGCAGTCGCGGGACTACTTTGAGGCTCTCTCCTGGCCCAGTGACTCCGAGAGCTTACAGCGGTTCGGCTTCCCGGCGCTCTCACAGACCCAAAGCATGAGGAATTTAGGTGAGAAGAAAGCGATGTGGATATTCACGATTGCAGTCCGTGTGTGTGTGCGCCTGCAGGTCTTGACATCATCAGCCCAGATGCTCCCAAGTCATTGTGGGGCGACGTGGAGACCCTCGAGGAGGGTGAGCAGCCCCTCCTGTGGGCGCACGACGTCATCGACCTGGAGGAGCGTATCGAGGCCACCAACATCACACCGCTTGTCGTCTTCGCAACCGCATCATGGTGGGCGTGCGGCACCCGCATCACAACGCTCCACAGCGAATCGAGGGATGTGCGTCTTTGTCCTTCTTGCTTGGCTTGTTCAGGTGCCAGGCCTGCAGGGCCCTGCGCCCCACGGTGCGGCAGCTGGTGCGAGACTTCCCCGGCGTCAAGTGGGTGTGTGTGGACATCGACAACCCCGAGGATGTGCCGCGGAGTGTGGCTTTGAGGAAGGCGATTGACGTCAAGGTGGTCCCGTCATTCCAGATGTACAGGAAGGGCGAGAAGGTGGATGAGATCGAGACCACAGACAAGACCGTCCTGGCCAGGACCATCGGCAACCTACTCAAGGACCATAAGAAGGCATGAGTGGGG